CCGGATCTGAAGGTGTTTTTCCTTCGGAGGGACCCATCTTTGATCTGCCCAACTCGCTGCAGCCCATTATAGCGAAAAGGTCAGAGCTGTTATCTGCGGGTGCCCAACTTCCACATTTTCATAATGCAACTTTCAAGAGCTTGTCTAAACTGCTTTGGTGGGGGCTGGGTGTTCTGCAGAGACCCAGTAGAGAATTGATTGACGGGATGGAGAAGATGAGAATTTCCCTCGGTGGGTTTCCCACTGAGGGAAGGGACCAGCTCTTGTGTCCTGGGGCTCCGCAGCTCGCCCGTCCCTCCGGCACACCCGGGCATCCCGCTGGTGAGGGGCACGGTAACTGCATAAAACCAGAGTCATTTCAGCTCTAGCCGTGCTAATAACTGCGGTTATGCTTGTCTGGAATCATGATAAGAGGGAGAAAAAAAAAATCACAAAATCTCCATTTTCAGATAATGCTTTAAAACATTGCTCTTAGCAAACTTGAGTCATTTGTGGCTTGTTTCCTGTAAGATACTAAAAATGCCATCGCTTGAAGGCTGGAGTGAACGCATGGGAACTGTTTCTTTTGGAGATTAAATCAATTCGTTCTGTGTGTCACATCTGATGTTTTACATGTTACATTTTCTCTTATTTTATATTGGTTTCTAACAACCGATAATCCAAGCTTCTAGGTATACGATGTCTAGGTTTCAACTGCAAAGTTTTAGTAATCTTTATTTATTTACCTACCTTCTAGTGACTTAAGTGCTGCCTTAGAAATCTATGAGCATCAAAAAGCTAATGCGTAAAGCAGCAATTCTGTTCTGCGTAAACATCCGCCAGGCTGTTCCGGAGTTCGGGGCTTTCAGAGAAACCTGGCTTGTGATTCCTCAACACTCGTAAGATGAAATATTTCAGGGTACATCTGAAGTTTCAAATAATGGATAATAAAGGATAATAATGTGCGCTGCCTTCTGTTGGGAAGTTCTCTGAACTTGTGAGAGCAGAGCCCACAAGTTAGGAAAGGGAGTATGGAACCCAAAAGAATAAACCTGGGGAAAGTAGGGCCTAAACCCGTACAGAGTTCCCCATGGTTTCAAGAAAAACTCGCAGGATGAAGAGCTGGTAGAAGAGGGATGTTATGATGCAACTTGCAGGGCGCAGCAGTTTAAACTTAGAAGCATGAAAACCAGAAGAGAACAGAATCAGATAATATCTTTGGGCCCAGCTCGCCTAAATTAAAACTGCAAAATTGGTTTCTCAGCACAGAAGTTCTCCACCAGTGGTCATCTCTCCCTGCTGAAGAAAGTAATTTTTGCCCAGAAAACTGCTGACCCAGTAACTAAGCCGTAGTAATGTAATGTTTTGCTGTTGCCTGCTGGAAACGGAGCAGCCTGATCCTTCTCCATCTGTGTAGGTCTCCTCTGCCCACACCAGCCTAAGGGAGCACAGACCAGAGACAGAAATAAAGTGCTGAGGGACTGGGATGGAGCAAAAACCCACTAACTAACTCTAGCAGATACTGAGCCAAACCCCACTAACTCTAGCAGATACTGAGCACCTCGGTCATCATCCGTCGAAGCGTAACTGTGCAATCACACGCCTTCCTTGCTGCCAGCCACAGGTTTAAAATGAAGCAGGTGCTTAAACAATTGATCTGATAGCAAAGCAAAACTAGTAAAATTGCACAAAAAGGCAAAGACGAGAATTCCTTCAGAAAGCGTCTTTGAAGAAAATTCCTGCTTTATCCCCAAGTATTACCAGAACCATCCTGGATCCCAGAGCTTTTTAAAAAGAGGGAAAAAAATCAGGTGCATGAATAGTTCAGTGCTAAGACCACGAAAAAGTTTTGTGCCGCTTTCCATGCAGGGATGTGTAAATCCCAAATAATTGTTTGAGCTCTACTGGCATAGACCCATCCCAAGGGATTCATGTCCTCGGCTGAGGGAAAAAAAGTAACATGAGGTAGAATTCTGGCTCTATTAAAAACAGCAGCAAAACTTAAATTAGTTGGGCAACAGTCTCATCTGTTGTATTTATTCCTTGTTCAGAGAAACGACATCCTCAGACCCAAGTTTACATTTCCCAGTGGAAAGCTACTGCATGTGAAATTCCTCAGGTGCCTTTTCTAGTCCTTCAGCCCCTGGTGAGACAGAAATTCCCTTTGCTTCCAGCCCAAGCTTCCAAGCTCAGGTTTACAATATGGGCTCATCTATTTTGGGGTTCATGCACGGATGGTTTTGTGGCACTGCTGGGGTTCTTCGGTAAATGATGGGTAAATCCAGAGGCCGTCTGTGTTGATGAGGTCACTTAAGAGTTGTTTCTAGGTAAATCTTTAAAATCTTGTTGGGAAAAAAAGTGCATTTTTTTTGAGTGGAAACAAAAGAATTGCTACATGTTATGGATAAACCAGAATTATGTGAAAATGTGAAGAATATAGTAAGAGCTTTGTAGCTGTTGGCATTTGTCAGTCTGCCCGGACACACCCAGCATTTCTATGAAACGGTGAATCCAGGCAGCTTTTTGATTGCACTTTTGAAAAAGCACAGTCCTTAATTATGGAAGAATCATGTCATGGGAAAGGTGTTTCTGTTGTAAGAAGTGCTTGGCTTGAGACACATGACTGAGCAATTCATGTTCTGTCCAGTAGAAGAAAAATGCTGTGTCTACACAGACACGTCCTAGGAAAGCAGTAGGTGCCTTTACAGTCCTGAATACACACGGGTGATACAGAGATTGTCACGCTTGTGCATTATGCTCGAAAGAAAAAAATTAGCAAGTTTTCCCATACTTTTATTAACTCCTTATGTTTTAACTGTGTGTGGGTTTTTGATTTTTCTTTTAAAGCAAAAGAAGAGTGAAGTCCTGCTCCCTCTCACGGCAAAGGACATAAATCATTTACTCTGCCGAGATTAAAAAATGAGGCTATTATCCCTTTTCTAACATGACCAACCTTGTGTTTTGTTTCATTTTTCCTTCTTCTCACGTGGATGCTTTCTGGGTACATTTTCCTTCTCCAACGCTTCTTTCCTTCCCTCAGGGAGCCAGTGGACGAAGTCCTCCAAATTCCCCCGTCGCTGCTGACATGCGGCGGTTGCCAGCAGAACATCGGGGACCGCTATTTCCTGAAAGCCATTGACCAGTACTGGCACGAAGACTGCCTCAGCTGCGACCTGTGCGGCTGCAGGCTCGGAGAAGTGGGGAGACGGTTGTATTACAAACTGGGCAGAAAGCTCTGCAGAAGAGACTATCTCAGGTACATGACCCACTTCTTCTCCCCTCATTCCTCTTCTTCCCACTGCTTGCTTAGTTAGTACAGCTAGCGAGCAAAGAACTGGGAAAAAAATTGATTTTTGATTACTCTTGAACGTAGAGCCTGTCAGCAGTCACGGGTGTAACACAGTTGCAAGCTCAGGTTTACAATATGGACTCATATTTTCAAGGTTTATGGCACTGCTGGGGTTCTTATCCAGAGGTTGTCTGTAGTAGATCACTTCATGTGATCTACTCTGGGTGATCCTGCTCTGGCAGGGGGGCTGGACTAGATGATCTTCAGAGGTCCCTTCCAACTCCTTTCATTTTGTCACTCTGTGATTCTGTGAAGTTGTTTATAGGTGAAATTTTAAAAATCTTGTAAAAAAACCCCAAACCAACAGCATTTTTTTCAATGAAAATTAAAGTATTGCTACATGTTATAGACACACGAGAATTACTTGAAAGTGTGAAGAATATAGTAAGAACTTCCAGGGCTTTCGGGGCGTCGGCATCCATCAATCTACACAGACATAACCTGATAGCTCCAGGGGAACCACGCAGTGTCAGCGTGGCATTCCGCCAAGTAGAAATTGGGAAAAGGGGATGAGTTTCAGAGCTTGCTGACAATGAACTTGTTCCCGTGAATGTTTTTAAGAAGTCCTGTGCTTCCCCAAGCACTGCCTCGGAGCTGAAAGGTGTATAAAACCATGTGCCAAGATCAACGACTGATGAAAAATCATTTAGTTCTCTTATTTAAGAACAGGGTATCCAAGGGAACTGAATTCAATTAATTTTCCCCATGTGGTAATAGCAGCTCTACGAGAGATTTTTTCAGCTGCCTTACTGAAGGCTAATTTACCTGCCAATGAAAAACTAAACCAAAATCTCAGTGGATTTCGTAATTTTGGTGTCCCTGAGCTTTACCGGTGGGAATTTTGCTGAGCAGAAACTAAGAACTGAGTTCTGCTAATGGGACCGCTCGTAAATACTCCACATTCACAACAGGCCAGTACTGATCCAATGTCAATTCCAAATGCTTTTTGTCTTAACATGGAAGCAACAGCAAGTATGGCAATACAATTAACATATTTTCTTGCAGTGAAAGTCAACGTTTTATTTATTTACTAATGCAACATATAGTATCTTCCCTCATTAATTAAACATTTTGCAGCCTCTGTGTAACCGTAGTACTCCTTTGGTGGGCAGAAGTAAACACTGACACCTCCTGGTAAACTAAAGAACTGATGTCTTTTCCCCCTAAAGATGTCTTAATTTCGTAGGCAGCCTTTTTCCAGTTCACAAGAGGCTACGAAGCAGGCACAGCACGTGTCAGAAAAGTGCAGGAGGTGGCAAAACTTTTTCCAGAATTGCTATGGAAACTCAGAAGACAAACTTAATAGGTGTGCACCTTGAACAAATCATATGTAGTATTTCTTCTCCTTTATAAGGCAAAAAAAAATTAATATATTCCTGCTTATTTATTAACGATTCTGTAGCCAGCAGACAGCATGAAAGGCTGGTGTTCCCACACAGCTTGCTCCAGCTGAGCAGCAGCACATAACACACCTGGCGCATTCATTTTGACAGACAACACCACCCCGATCTCAGCAGGGTTTCTCCGTGTGGATTAAAGAGCAGTCCACATCCCACAATTGTTTGGGCTAGCCTAGGTATCTAGAAGGTCTTAGCATGTATCTTTCTGAAACCCAGCAGGAGTGACTTCATGGATGTAGAAAGGTCTGTGTTTGAAAGAATCTCCAACGTGGAGACAACGACAGGAGAAACGGGAGTCTTAGACGTGGCTCTCTGTAAACTGCAGTAGGAGCAGCTGAAGCTGGCACAACTTATCAAGGGAAGGGTAATTTCTATTAATCACAGACCTGAAAGCAGCACAGCACAACTTTGTGCTCCTTTACTCCTCCTGAAGCTGCTGAGCAACTCAGGATGAGGCCATTGATCAGAGAAGTCAATTATGTTGAAAATAGGTGAGGACCTTGGACTTTCTTCTTCAATTCCTGGCCTTGCAAAGTTCTGCTGGCAGCTTTCCACGTGCCCTCTGACTAACTTGGCAATGCTGTGGTTAATGGGTCAAGGCAGTGGTTCCATGTTCCTGTTCTGATTTGGTTTTTCCCATCTTCCCAGCTAAGGAACTCCGCTTACTTCTCTGCTCTTGTCATTCTAGGCTCTTTGGCCAAGACGGCCTCTGCGCCTCCTGCGACAAGCGAATCCGGGCTTACGAGATGACCATGCGGGTGAAGGACAAAGTGTATCACCTCGAATGCTTCAAATGTGCTGCCTGCCAGAAACATTTCTGTGTTGGGGACAGGTACCTCCTCATCAACTCGGACATAGTATGTGAACAGGACATCTACGAGTGGACTAAGATAAACGGAATGATCTAGCGAAGACACGCCTCCATAGTCTGTACGAGACATCTCACGGGTGACACCGACGCATAGCTGCAGCGAGGAGAACATCACCTGAGCTTTGTCTAGAATGAAGGGGAAATACCACGGAGTCGGCCCTTGGCAGGCAGTGCTGTGCAGAATCTAAAACACACGTAGGTGAAGAAGGGAGAGCAAAGCAATAGTAGATAGACCGACCTCTCGTAACAAAGGCACGTGGGCAAGAACTGACATCTGCCGTGTAGGCGTGAGATGGGGAACCCACGCGACGTGATTTCGACTTCCCGTAACCGGAGAAAGAACAGGGACTTCTGTAAAGAGATGTTATGAGTTTGTCACCTGCAGACTAGGATCGTGCAGTTGAGTTTTCTTTTTGTCTTGTTTTAGTTACTGGATTTAGGCGACCGCACCTAATGTAGCCACGAGGAAGAATATTGGAAGAAAAGGGCCATCACTTTTATGGTCATTCTCTACAGCCTTACACTTTGGGTAGGAGAGAAAGTGGGAAGAGGGTGGGGGTTAGTTTTGCATGGACATTTTTTTTTCTTTCCTTTGAGAATGAACAGTGCATCCTCTAGTCCCAACCTCTTCTTTAAAAAAAAATCCTG